GGGGGGGGGGGGGGGAGTGCCCCGAGAAAACCCACTTTCACTAGTCGGGACCGAATAAAAAAAAAAAAGACTAGTGCCCGAGTGATGATCTATTGATGGGTTGAAAACCTGAAAAGATACTGAACAGTGAAATAGTTATGCATAGAATATAATATACTATAAGTAGTTTTGTGGATCATGGTTGTGTATCATGTTGTATGGGGATGGGTGTTTGTGGTGTTGTGTATCATGTTGTATGGGGATGGGTGTTTGTGGCGTTGTGTATCATGTTGTATGGGGATGGGTGTTTGTGGCGTTGTGTATCATGTTGTATGGGGATGGGTGTTTGCACCTTGGTTTAGGGGTGGCGGCAATTTTATGAAATTCGGCTGTGAGTGAATTTCGGTGGGAGTTTTTATTTTTTTGTAGTATTTGACGGCAAGTTTAGAAATGCGGTCTTGTATAGTGTGTAGTGAAGGACGTATTACTTTGTTTTGGTTTTTGTAAAATCAGCCGTTTGTTGTTATTCATGTAATCATTGCGCTATAGTCTAATAAGGTCTGATAAATGTACATTATTATTTGTGGTCTGCATCCGTGGGCGTGGTGACGAATTTTGTGGAACTTTCTGAATGCCAAGATGTCAAGTTTTATTGTATTTTTTATTTAAGGAATATAATGATATATATTTACTATAAAAAAATACGCAAACATTTGCGTCGTTAGCTTGTGGACCAGAAACGTGTGGTCTTGTTGGAAACCTAGACCTAAATCCATACACCTATAACTTCAGAGGCATGTTCACTCTTGTCAGTTGATAGTGTTTTAAATTTTCAAGTAACATATAACAACGGTTTGTTGTTCTTTGATTTTCGCTAACAGATGCTGTAGATAGTGGAAAAATACTCTTCTTGTTTGTAGTTACCCTGTTTTCAAAGACTAACTAAATTGTTGTTGTTTTTCTCCAGTCTAACAACGAATAAATAATTAACGATGTTAATTGTAACATCCGACAGTGAGTGAAAGATCTGTACAAATTTTAAGACTTTAATAGATTCCCCACAGTGGACGGTGCACAAGTCATCTATTTAATCAGTTTTGCGCTATTTTGATTTATTAGCAAAGCAATGATATTTTTGGCCACGTTATGAATGCTGCTTGGAAGAATAATTTCAAATTAGCTAATGTGTCGCCATCTGTTGGGCGTTTCGGATGTAAAGAAATAAAATACAAAAACCATGTTTATGGTAAGTCGGTTCCTTAGCTTGAGTGGTAAGAGTACTTTATAGATTGGTTAGTAGTTCAAATTATGGACTTAAGATAGCCTTAGTATCAGAAAGTACAGTTAATTCCAAAATACTTGAACTTTCCACTTTGACTGTAAGATAAATAGTGCAAGAATTTCATATTTTAACTTTCTTTTCAGTATCCCATATAAATTAGGTTCACTTGTATAAATTCTCAATGCACCATAAGTTTTTGGGAATTCAGGGTTTGTAACTACTTGTGCCAAAAAAACGTGAGCTGTTATTTAAAGCATTAAAGCCAGTTTTTTTGTTGTTGTTCTCAAAAATAAGTGTTTTTTCACAGCCTAATTGTAATTTGTACTGGATATTAATATTATGAAGAATGTTAAACTTGCAAGTTTCTAACTTTCACTTTAGTTTTTAATATAAGCATTAAATTAAGGCAGAGGAGTGGTATCAGAAATAGTCATATGTTTGAAACTTAAATATTGTTGTTTTGGTTTTTTATACATTCAGTTATTGAAGTGAGTGGGCTTTATTTTTCTTTCAAGTATCGCTTGTTTCAATGTGACAAACTTTATCTTATTTATGTTCTGGTAATGGAGAATCAATCAATATATTTTTTGTTTCTTTATAGGATGTTTTAAACTTAATACGGTGCTGTTTTCAGCATTCTTAGTTTCTTTATAAATTGCAGCTGTAAATGTCTTCACTTCAACTTTTATTAGGATGTTCTAAACTTAATATGGTGCTGTTTTCAGCATTCTTAGTTTCTTTATAAATTGCAGCTGTAAATGTCTTCACTTCAACTTCTATTAGGATGTTTTAAACTTAATACGGTGCTGTTTTCAGCATTCTTAGTTTCTTTATAAATTGCAGCTGTAAATGTCTTCACTTCAACTTCTATTAGGATGTTTTAAACTTAATACGGTGCTGTTTTCAGCATTCTTAGTTTCTTTATAAATTGCAGCTGTAAATGTCTTCACTTCAACTTCTATTAGGATGTTTTAAACTTAATACGGTGCTGTTTTCAGCATTCTTAGTTTCTTTATAAATTGCAGCTGTAAATGTCTTCACTTCAACCCCTATTAGTCCTAAATGTTGACATGGCTTCAGTCGTTCAAAGGTACTAAGTCATGAAATTAATTTTTATTGCAGGTTTTTGCCTGAGACAATCAATGTCTGAGCCACTTCTTCAGATAAGTCAGTACTCTGGCTGGGATAACCACAACATTCAGGAAGTGAGAACAGACAATAGGAATGAAGCTGATTGGGATGGAGAAGCCGTTGTTAGTCAGGATCCAGATCGGGTTTGCTCTGATGCAGAAATGAGTGATGAGGACACCTTGGCAGTTAAGAATGGCGTGATGACTTTCGAAGAAGTGAATGAAGACTATAATTTTTGTTTAACGTAAGTATATCAATCATCTATTTTGTTATTTTTAAGTCTTGGTTGGCATCATGTTCAGAATTCAATTAAACAATTATTGTAATCATAGTATGACTTTAAAGTGCAATATCCAAGAAGAAAGTCTCCTATACATAGGGAAAACTCATTCCTTCAGTTTTAATATACATGCTTTATAATCTGCATTCATAATATTTATCCCTTAAAACTCTAGGACTTTTCACTTCCAGTTGGGGCAGCATTGCATAATACTAATTTTGTTAACATTTAACTTTTCCAAAACAATATAGGTGAAATCACTTGTACATATCTGTGTGTGTATTTGCCATGTTACAGCTGTGGTATCAACTGGGAAGATGAACAGTGGTCAATATTTTGCGATGAATGTGGAGACTCTGCAATGTATCGGTCTTGTCCTGAGTGTGAAGGGCAGTGTGGAAGTACATGGAGACGAGACACGGCAGCTGTAAGTTACTTAACGTAACTTTGGAGAAAGTTGAGCACTTTTTAATTTGAAATGTTTTGTTTGAAGTACAGAATACGCAGTTATTAAAACGTTAATAGCTATCATTCTTGTCTGTAGGACTGACTTGGGGTTGTGAATGAAAGATTGAGCATACATACTTTTTGTATGTGACTAATCTTTAGTCATGGTTTTAGGTTTATTTTAATGGAATAATTGTTTCTATAACACATTAGCAGTATTTTTTATAAGGCGTTAGTAGTATATTTTTTTTTTTTCTCCATCCATAATAAGAGGTATATGAAACAAGTTTTTCTTCCAGACTCATAGAGCCAGATGGGCTAAATGGAAGGGTAAATGCAGACTCCAGGAATGTCGACAACTGTCCTTTCACAATGATGATGAAGATGTAACAAATGCCAAGGATGATATATGAGGGATTATGTTAGGAGGCTAACTTAGTTAAAATGTTTATGTAAATAAGTGTTGAATTACTAATATTTTTGATAAAATGCAAGAAACTTAGTATTTAAATCAAAAAAGTACCTCACAGGGGGGGGGAGGGTAATGTTTTTCAAGTGGATATTTTCTGAAGATCTCTTAATCTACTTTATGATCTCCAACCAAGGAAATTAAGCCTTGTATGTATCCATTGTCTTGTGTCTTAACTTTTCTTGTTCACAAAATTTGAATGGAACATTAACTTTTGGAAACAACTTGAAAAACAGGAACTGCTGTTACAGCTACTGGCACTAGTCAAATATTCTCTTGAATAAGTGTCACGTTTGTACCTAACTGTGATAAGATAGTCGTCAGTCTACTGTATTTTTACTGAATGCTCAACTCTTGTCTTTTAAAAACTAAGTTTGTGTTCAGTAGAAATAAGAGGAGTTGGGAGGGATGTGTTCAAAACAAGTCTTTCAGCAGAAATGGGAGGGGGCATACAACCAAAGTATTTTAGTACAAATGTAGGGGGATGTATAACGGTCCCCAATTAAATGTTAAATTTAAACAAATTGTGTGATGTTTATACTCGGAACTTACTAGGGAGAATGTTTAACTATTTCAAAACTTCATACCATTTTTTTTTATATCCTGCTGTGCACAAGGTATGAACTTTTATATACAGAAGGTACTTCTTTTCTGATTATCAAACAAATATTAAATGGTGTTACAAAGGTGTTGATTTATTTAGAATATCGTATGTTTTTGATACTATGCATACTGAGCTAGATATTATTTGGCTGTTATGTTTATAACTAGCAAGATGTTTGTCCTCTCAGATTTAAGTTTGCCTCCCAATTATCTATAAATTCCTTTTCTAAGAGTTTCCTTCGTTTACGTGATTCGCATAAGTCTTATATAAACTGCATAAATTTTGTTTAATGTGTTGTCATTCTTTTGTAATTGTATTTAAATTTTCTGAGTAGTATATCTACTTTAACTTTTATACTTCACTTGTTCAGAATTTGTATGGACGATATAATGATTGAAATCCAATTGGATAAAACACTGTAAGTGAACTGATGCTGATACAACAGCAATGAAATTACAAATAAAATTCTAAAATGAATAGCTTGTATATATCTTTATTTTTCATACATTCATTAACATAATTGCTAATTATTTTTGGCATTAAATATTTTTCTCTACAAGTTGTAATTCCTAAACTTACACGTTTAAAAAAAATATTACATTTCATTCTTTCTCTCTCTCGCGCGCACGCACAACCTATAAATTTATAGTAAATTATATAGTTGAAACGAACCGTAAGTTATAAAACTTGCGCAGTCGTCTGAACACTAATGTTATTAATACAACACTGATCTTTTATCACTGTTAAACGATGCTTAAATTATATCGCTAATCAGTTGATAAATAATCGATTTAAGAGTTTTTAGTGTATTAAGTAAAGAAAACACAATCAAGTTTACATAACTATAATTTTAACTTCCTTGTACAATGTTACTGTCTCAATAAATTCATGAGTTGTTTATACTGGAAAGGTGTTGATATCACGAGGCCTCGATATTGTTGAAATTGCCGTCAATATCCCATGATCCTAGGTTATAGGATGTTGGAGAGGAAACTAAAGTTTTTCGACAACAAATTCCTTAACATGTTTTTCTTTTCAAAAGAAAGCTGAATTGTAGGGATTGCCTGTATTAGCATAAGATCTCATAAGTTTTTTTTTTCATTGGACTTTGGGCGAATATACAAAAATAAGAAATGTTCAAGGGTAAGTATAGTCGACAAAATATCACCGCCATGAACAGAATGTATTTATGTGGACTGATAGAGTAAATATTGTTACGACAGCGGAATTCACGTGACACTGGTAACACTTAATGAGTATCTAGAACGTTCGTGAAGGCTCGAGTGTTCTCCAGACGCCCTCTATTTCGTATATATAAGACTGGCGAGAAGTGACTGCAAAGAGAAAGATAATTTCAGACGGACAATTGAGTCAAGCGTTGTGAATTATAGCGTGTTAAAGTGACTGTGGAAATTAAGTGTATTGCAAAGTTGTATTGAGAAAGAATAAACTAGTTTTATTTAAAAAAGGACTTGTGTCGCTGAAGTTTCATCGGAAATAAATTCTACGGAAAATTAACAAACGAACAGAGAGATGCAACAATATTATACCTAAAATTGTCGATCTGCAAATCGATGACTCTTATCATCAAACGTGACAGGAGAAGTGACGCGAAATTAAACTAGGTGACATCCATGTTGTCAAAAAACGTGGAGGTAATATATTAAGGTAACTGGGAAGTTTGATAATAAACTGAGATTTAGGCAATTGTGAAGCGATCATCGTAATTTTTGAACACTGGGTAAACAGATATTTAATCCATTTTAATTTCAATATCATGTCAATGTTACAGAAGCCCAAACAATTGTTAAAGTATGCTCAGATTTGCCATTTCCTATGGTGTGTGTTGCAGTATTTGTTTTAAGGAATGCACCCCTGGGTTGCACTTGTGATTCACACTAGCAATTAATAATGGCCAACTCTCTTCAGAATTGCGAGATTAATACTCTCAAATTGCAAACAATGCCACTTTCACCACTAAACTCGGCGTCAAATCTCATAGTTACCTCCTAATCCTTGCAAGATTTGAACTTGTTCTTAGAAAGTATCGGGATTTTGTCAGTTAACGTTACCACTTTTTATTCCCCATAAGTAGGGGATTCAACAAATGCACACTACAATTTCTACCTATTGAATTACTTACCTCATTTTTTTTTTTTTTAACATGGTCGAATGGACACATTTTCTATAAGAATATTAAGTCCTACATCTGTGATATAACTTACCACCACCAAGTAAATATTTTAACATCTTAACGAATTTATCTATTATGCATTTATTTTTAATATGAACGTTTTTTGGATTGAACTTGTATTTAGAAATATGCGTGACTTGTGATATCAGATGTGCTGCCTATAACGAATTTTTTATATATTTATTTTAATGTCAACGTTTGTTTCGAATAAGTTTATATTTGAGGGCGTGTCTAGCTCACCCTGTTAGTTACGTATGGCGAAACTCCCGCCAATTCTCCAAGACTGTAGAATATTCGTGAACACAAGAATCAACAATATATCCACTTCCGTAACCAGTATTATCAGAAGTTTCTAAAAATGTGACTCTCCTATAAAAACAACAGAGAAGAGACAAGTCTACTATGAAGTTGTTATAACCGTGTAAACTATAAACTGTTTGCTAACCCTTATCAACCGAAAAATATACGACATTTGGCCAGGAACAGCTATAAATTTCGAACGTCAGTGAATTCTCATCAAACGTTAATGTTTCCAAGAATATTACTAATTTCTCATTGGACATTAGTGGTTTTATGAAAATATTATTTTACTTCAACGATCCAACAATTCAGTGCCTGACAAAGCTAGTTCGCTTTCCGCCAATTACATGTACATAGACTTCAAACTAACTCGCTGGATATCAAGGAGACTCTGAACTAGTAAGACTATGTTGAGCTATTTGTGAGTTAGTGAAATTTCTGTTTATGAAACTTGATTTGTAATAATTAATCGTAAAGTTGCCATTGTAAATTATACTGTTGTGTGTGTGTGTATATATATATATATATATATATATATATATATATTAACGTTTTAGTACACAACAAATAGTGTGTATACTAGTGTTGTTAGGTAATAGTACGTAAACTAAATAAATATACGGTCATTATTTACTAACTAAC